AAGTACTTTGTATGTCAGATCCATAATATTTGAACTATAAGAAGCTATCATTATGGAAAGGCACAGAAATACAAGGGGAGTTTTAGAGCTCTCCATAACGAAAGAGCAGAGCTTATGATTTGTTTCTGTAGGCATTTTAATTGTTATCTACATGTCATTGGTGCCTAAATCTGTTCGTTCTTTTTTCCATGGGCAGGAAGAGATGATATGAAAAAAAAAAAATCAGTTAGTACTAACAAGTTGCCTAACAGACTGTGCTAAGAAGACAACAGTAATATGTGATAGTTTTTATTTCTTTAAATACACATTCCTCCCTTGCTCTTGTGTGCATTAGTTGAGCCTAGTATTTTCAATATCTGTTGTAGGAATGGTTTCTTAGGAGGTTTGAGTGTGGAGTGTAATCTGGTTTTATCAGTGGCAGCACAGTGTCCAGTTTATGGGGGATATGGCAGAAGTAAGTGTGAAAAAGGTTATAGTAGACACATAGGCAGTCAGGACTATTATATTTGGAGCAGGTGGCATGTGACCCTAGAGACCTATAATTCCGTGCAGCTTCTGCTGGTGTGCACTCTGATTGTGTCACATTTTGCAAGCTAAGATTTGGATGAGATCTCTTCTGGGAATATATGAGCGCTAAAGGAAGTAGTGTCAGTAACTCAGTAGGAAATATTGCTTCCACTAGCTTGTTACTGACCCATGTATCTGTGTGTGAGGCAACACAATGATAGCAAATATGCTTATGTGTTTTCTGATAATATGTTAGGCTGTAGGGAGTGATCTGTTGTGGTCTTAGGTGGCTATAATACCTTCCCTAAGAGCAGGGATTTCAAATACCGGCTTTGACCTTTGCCGAAAAATAACTGTTTCCACCCTCCCATTCTTCAAAAGCAACAGTAAAGTCAGATCTTTTGTCCTGTCTTTTTACTGATGACTGTTCTGGAGAAGCTGAAATTAGTGAGCACTTGCATATCAGATGACGAAGCAGGGTGGTGACTGAAGTGTTGAATTTTTACTTCATCACCCAAGGCAAGATAGATGTAGACTGGATAGTGTGTGTACATATATATATACTTGTCTATATGCTTGCCCTATATACTTGGCCTGGTTTTATACCCTGTTTTAGACATTAACTTTTGGCTGCTACTAGAAGTAGGATACCCAATATACAAGAGCATATAGAATATACTACTTAAATAAATTAATAAAATCCAATTACAGCCTTCCTTGTCTATGTACTAGAAGAGATTTGACATCCTAGTCATGAGGCCTATGTCTGTTCAAACAGTTTGTACTATAACAGCTTTCTGACCAAGTTGTTTTAGCTTACATTTGTGTTAAAAAGGGTTAAAATATTTTGTGCTTTCAGGTTAAATAAGAAACATCTCCCTTGTTTTAGACAATTTCTAGTCATAAAGTAAATAATAAACAATAGCTTTCCACTTAAGTGAGATGGAGAGAGTGCAAAACTACTTTTTTTTTCTTTTCCCTGTCACAGATCATCATCTTGGAAATAGTTTTCTAGTACAATTCCAAACTGAATAGTGGGAAATTTAAGATTGCAGTGTACTTAAATTGAATGTAATTTTTCTTCCCCACCTTCTTTTGAGGTTACATCATGTAGTATTTGTGCTGTTGCCAATTAAATAGGTTGTCTTTGCAATTCCAGCTACCGGTGCATTTCTGTGAGCAGAGAATGGTCCTAGCTTATAATTTGATTGTGAGTTGTTTGTGGTTTTTGTTTGTTTGATTGTTTGTTTTTTAAATGCATTGGGATCTCTCATGGTGAAAGTTACTGTGGTATTAGCATATGTTCCTGATTGTTAAAGTAGAGATTTGAGATATGACAGTGCGCTATGCTCATAGATCCAAAAGTGTAGGGATATTTTTGCACAAATTATCACTTAGAAGAACTATCCAACATTTCTTAGTTTTAATTTATTATAAGGTGGGTAGGGATGTTTATGTTTTAAGATGTATTTGTCGCAAGCGTGCTAGGCCAACTGACATATTACAGAAACAAAAAGCAATGTCAGAGCTTTGGGATAAAGTGTTCTGGCTGTCCTACCTGTTGCTTATTGGAGTTGGTTTTGGGTGTTGCTGCTTCTGTTATGTGCAAGATTGCAGCATTCTTACTAGGGTGAGGTTTTTTCTTATGTTCCTTTTTTTTTTTCCTTTTTTTTGTCTGCCAAGATGCATGGGTAGGCATAATGGACTTCAGTCAGGAATAATGTAAGTTGATGAGGAAAAGAGAGTAAGTGGGGATGCTTAAGTTGAGAGTTAATGGTAGGGAAATGAGCGTTTTCCCTGAGTCAGGTGTGTTAGTTTTTTAAGGCAAGGTGAACTACCTTGCAATTACATGGGACTGTTTGTTAGTTGGGTTACTGAAAAGCTCAGTGTGTCAGGTTCTTTGCCCTGTTCCTGCTTTTTTCTTGCGCTGTTCACAGACTGCTGCTCTCAGGGGATTTCTGGCCAGGCAGATCTACCATGAATGGTGTTTGATGCAGTTCAGTTTTAGACTGCAACTGCATTAATTACAGTGACCCTGCTTTATGAAGAGTTTGTTCCTGACATCTGTTGCTGCTGCTCTAGTTTTGCAGGGGGTTTGTAGTTCTGACAGATTCTAAGAAATTTTTCTTGAGAGACACTCACAGCATGGTTTGTACTTACACTCAGAGTGACCATTTCTAATGGTTGTGTCGTTTCCTCTCAGCTGCTGTCTTAGGAGACTAGGGATCTTTCTCATCGGTGAGTACGCTCCTTTTGCTTACTCTGTGAGCCTGGTCTTCTCCTGTTGTGAAGTCTCTCCTGTGACAGCCTATAACATGTGCCAAATGATTGGCCTCTACCTCTGTCACAGTAATTACTTCAGAGAAAGAGTTCTGCATAAGACATCACACAACATTGAACTAAGGTTGATGAGATGCAGTCGCAACAGAGTGCTAAAGCTGCCCTAGGCAGGTCTATAAAGAAGGCTTTGTTCTATAGGGAAATTCTGTAGACTGATGAGTTGGATAGTTTAAAGCATTTAGTGAGGCCCCATAGTTACTGCAGATCATTGAAAGTGAATACAAATACAAGGCTCTTCAGGAAGGAATTCCTAATAAGACTTCAGCTGTTTCACATCCAGAAATGCCTACCTGTAGTATTTTGTGCGACTGTCACAGGGCACATTGATGTTACTTGTGGCTAATTCCATCCTATTTCTTTAGGAGATGATGAGCAAAGTGATTGGTTTTATGAAGGAGAGTGTGTTCCAGGATTCACTGTCCCCAGCCTTCTTCCCAAGTGGGGAGCTGACCATCGATCTGAAGTGGAGCGGATTGACTCAGGCCTGGACAAGCTCTCAGATTCCACATTCCTTTTGCCCTCGCGACCAGCTCAGAGAGGTGAGGTCCATAAGGAATGCCATGTGTTTGGGAACTGTTAATGTAATGGCAAGAGTTGATTCTGTTCAAAGGTGCTGCAATTTAAACTGATATTAGTGATCTGGGTTTTTTTTCATGATCCAATTAAAAATAGCTGCACTACTGGAGAGGATACTAAAATACTCATAACAGCTGCCTACATTCTTGAGTCTCCTTTTTTAAATAGGGATTTTATTTGTTTTGTGAATAAATTGCATATCTACCTCTTGCAGATTGAGAAACAAGAGACAGAGGATATGATTTGACCACTGAACTAACTATTTTTCCTGGTGCTTTTGTCAGGAAGAATCTTCTGTATTCATTGCTCAGTTTTTCTGGGTTTGATTTTTCAGGATTTCATGCTCGCCTGAATCGCCTTCCAGGAGCTGCTGCCCGTTGTCTCCGAAAAGGTCGGAGGAGGCTTGTTGGCAAGGTATTCCCTTTTGCAACATAATAATTTTGTATTTCCAATGCTGATCAGTCCTGAAGTACTATTTCTAAGATACCACATGAATTGTTTTCTGCAGAAAGGGGCCCTGTACATTTTTTGTTTCATGTATTGTTTGATTTGTTTAACTGCTTTGACTGTCAGAAGTTGATTGAGTGACTAAGTGGATTTTAAGGCAGGTTTGGAGTGGCAAAGACAGTTGATCAGTTCTAAAAGCAGTATGAAAGGAGGTCTGAAGATGAATGGCAGGGAACATAAATATCAAGAAGATTTAGACAGAATGTAAGGGAAAATGATGATGGCATGAAACTTGTCCATGCTCATAATCTGAGACTACAGGAGCAGAGAGGTGACTCAAAGGTGAAGGAAGGCAAAATTTTAGCTAGGGAAGCAGGCTGCTCTGTATGGCAGCAAAGGAAGGTGGTTTTAGCAGTTGCATTTTTAGTGGGGAGACAGAAGAATAAATAATGCAGACAAAGTTACGAGAAGCCATTGACTAGGTTTATTATATGTAGGCCAAACAACAAGCAAAATGTTAGTCCTCTTTCTGAAGGAATAAGCAATACTTTGCAGATGCCTGTCTAAAAGATGGAGGGATACACCTGGTTGAGGCTGGATCTTGGAGTGTTGACTGCTGCTGTTTGTCATAAAAGATGTTTCTGAGAAGGAAGGTTTTGGCTGTTTGGCTTTTATTTTATAGGCATGTGCTCTGTGCTTTTGAAAATATTGGCATATCTTCTGAGCTGACTGGCTTTAGAGAGTCTTTTAGCAAGGTGTGTTAGAGGGGCCTGGAGCCTAGAGGAGTGCGACTTCTTCCTTCTGTTCAGTCACACTTGAAAGATCCTTGTGTGCCCCTTCTTTCTTCCACTCACCTTGCTTAGTTGTAACCAGTGTTTAAAATATGAATCCTCAGCTGGCAAGAGACTGGCTTTGGGTAGAGTTCCTCAGGCCACCTGCAAGTGGCTGGGCCTGTTGGCAGCACCTCTAATGATCCAAATGAGAAGGATAATATTTACTTGTTTAATTCATCTTCATCACCTTAAAGGGATCTTTGTCATTTGCAGCGGAGGTCACTGCTCCCCCTTCCCCATCTCTCTCTAAATTGTAATCATAAATAATGAGTTTCATTCAGAGCTCCCCGGCAGCGAGCTGCTAATTACCAAAAGTACGGCTTGTAATTTACACAGTAATAAACCGTAAATTTAAACATTACGGCACTTTAACTTAATAATTTTCCTGCTGTAACAAATAGCCCATCTTTCACCCCTGCTGCTACAACTTCCCCCAAATTTTGAGTATGTTTTGCCTATGTACCTGGCACAAACAAATCTTACCTGTGAAAGCCTTTTACCCTCATCTTCAGACCTTTACTACAAAGTATATTTCTTTCCTGGAGATAGTTGCTATGCAGATATGAACAGCTGGTGCTTCAGGCTGTGTGTGTATGTGTATGCCAGCATCAGGCACACACACAGAGCAGTGTCTCGCAGGGAAAAATGTGCTCCCAGAGCAAGTCCCTTCTTCTAGGATCTACCTTTTCTTTAGCTGCTAGAGAGGCAAAAGCTTCATGCATACTCCTTGTTTCATTCACCTGTGCTTGGTGAATCCCCATTGTTACGGGGACAGTGCGATGTCCTGTCTCTCAGCCTATTTGTGGCCCAGCTGACCCTCGCAACCTGGAAATAAGCGCTTCTCAGCCGTTTCCCTAGTTCTTAACTTCATCCTTGTGCTGCATACTTTGTACCGCTCCGGTTCTTGGTGTGCCCCTGTGCAAGCATATATCATCACTAAAATAATAAAAACTGAGACCCACAAATAAAACTGAATTATTTTCTGCCATTCTAATTAGTTAAATCAGCTCATTTGAGGTTCTAAAGGAGACAGTGAATATGTTTAGCTGAGAGTCTGCTGGGAAGGAAAGGATGTGGCCAAGGGGAGTAAGATCTGTTCTTATTGGCAGCAGCAAACTATTATATCTGCTCACTGTGTGAGAGTCTGCAACCTTTTACCTGTCTTTGTGTTTCAGGAGACGTCTGTGAGCACTCCGGGCACCGAGAGGCTAGGTCATATTGTTAGTGGTCCGCGCCAGAAAGAGTAAGGCCTTTAACAGCTGTTGGGTAGAACTTTGGGAGGGGAGGAAGAACTATAGGGTCCCCTTCCCTCCTGGGACTGAAGGGAATGAAGAGCTAGGTGGTAACCTAAGCATGCAGTGACCTGTGGAATGGGAGACAGTCCTCTACTGATGGCTTCTCCATTTTCTTATTTACAATTGCTGACTTCCCTTTTGTTTACAAGGTTACCCCAGTGTGTGGACACTGCTCAAATGCCCTTTTGGTTACAGTCAGCTATTTCTTCCCCCCTCCCTTATAATGTGCCATTGCAATAACTGCAGATCTTCTGCACAGTGTGAGAAGACCAAACCCTATATGTTAGTTTTTTTAAAAGCTTCTATGTGGAGTCATGCTATGGGTGCATACCCAGACTCCAGAAATGATGACGACAAGGCAGCTGCAAAATTGCTTTCTTTTTCTTTGGTTTTCTGTCTCCTTCCCCAATTAGTGTATTTAAATTGTAGTCAGCACTGGAAATAATCATGGTGCCTATCCTTTGGCATCCCTCTAATGCTATTCTTGTTGGGCAATGGATAGGTAAGGATGACTGTAGTGCAGTGGGTCCAGCCTTCACCAGCTGTTGGTATCCAGTTTTCTTCCTTGGATCTGAAATTTGTTGTGTTTAATATGAGTTCTGCTGATGTTTAATCTTTCTCCTTCTCCCTCCATCTTTGTTCTTCCCTTCCCCTTCTGTCCTTACCCCCAACTCTCCTTTTTTCCACCCCCTCCGTGTTCACTCCTTCCTTGGCATTGCTCCCACCTGTCCTTCTGACTCTGCCTCCTTCCAGTTTTTGGTTACCATCCATGGGGAAGAGAGATCGCAACCAGGTAAGCTGACTCTGCTCTACTTTTTTTATTTTCTTGGTTTCCTTCTCTCTAGAAAGAACAAAGTGCCGGCTTCTGATTTCCCACACACTGTGGCCTGTGCACATGAGGTAAGGCAGCCCTGTCTCTTCTCATTTTGTTAATTGAGCTTTGGACACAACACATGTCTCAGGCATTTTATTGTCTGTTTAAACAGAATAGCTCAGGAACTCCTTTTGTGTATCTCCGTGTTTCAGGTTAGTGTAGGCCTTCCTCTCTGACAGTGAGTGGGAGAGAAAATGCCTCTTGGCAGGAGGAGCTTTGGCCTCTCAAAATTCCATAAGAATCGGAACATTTTTCTCTTTTTAAATACTTTGTTTTGCCTTGTTTGGCTCAGGCTTCTACCTGATAGTCTCATCAACAAAAAAAGGGAAAAAAATGGTGAGCTGATTGTAGTTAAATAGCAGCCATAACAGGAAAATGTAAGAGGTGGTAAGTGAGAGGAATAGGCATTCTTATAATTGAAACTCTTGTGTTTGTGCTTTTATATTCTCCAGTAAGTCTTTCGTAGCTTCTGTGCTAGGAGGCTTTTTTACTTAAGGTAGAAGAGCTCTGGTTCTTAATACCAGAAAGCAAAAAGGATCTTTCATTTGAGCAGTCATGTTGTAACAGTGTTCCTAGCCACGCACACTCCCTTCTGTTCCTTTTGTGAGTTGTTTTTTGGTTGGTGAGCAGTAAGATTGAAATCTGTTTTACCCTTCAGTTGACTAAAAATACATATATGGCAAGAAGTAATTTGCAGGCCTTTGTGCAATTGTGCATTTTCTCTTAATCAGAACATTTCACATACCACTTTTATATAGCTAAAGGTAAGAATGATAACTACATAAGCTTTAAAATGACCAAAATAAATTACTTTTGTTTTTCTTCAATGAACTTGAATCAGCTACAGAGGGTTACTGGTGATTCTCCCTACTGTGCAGCTGCAGTGTTGCTTCACTGACAGTAAACTAACAGTCCAGCTTAAGGAGGAGCTCCCTGATAGCAGCAGCTTTGTGGTGCATAGTGCCTCTTCTTTCTCAGAGAGGTTGAAGGCAAAGGCCTAGTACTGAGTTCTAGAGTTGCAGATAGCTCTTATGATGAGTCCTGCTACAGCTGTGGATTATTCATTTGTCCTTATTAAAAAATGCATCAGTAATTCTAGTAATACAAGAAAAGTGTTCTGGAGATTGGTGCAGCACTTTGCAAAGCAGATGGAAATGAATTTCCTGCTTGAGATGTGAATTATAAATAAAGAAGAGATGCTAAATGGAAGTATAATGCAGGTACCCCAGAGAAACTGCCAGTCTAAACCTATTTGCATATTGAGCAAAGTTTGCTCCAGACATTGATTGACTAGATTATTGCATTTCTGTCCTGACCTTAAAAAAAAAAAAAAAAAAAAATCTTAAGAGTTAGGTCTTCTACTGCAAACTGTCTCGCACAGGTTCGGTGCCTTTAGGATTTGTCTAGTGTACATCTAAGAAGGGATCTAAGATTAGCCTGACCATGTGGTGTTTCAGAAATTTGTTTTAAGCAGTTAGCAAAGAAAGATTGTGGGGTGGGTTGGGAGTGGGAGGAGCAGCTCACTTGCTGTGGAATGAATTGGGAGCTCATTGTGAACTAAACCTGATGGGCCTGAGTCTTCTAGATGTCTGTTTCAGTGATACATACGACCATAGGAAATATTGGAACTACTCTGTGGGAAGTTCTGTGCTTGCACCATTCGTAATGGTGACTCTTCTCCCTACAATGTGAAGGTAGACAAGAGGCTTCTCAAAAGGGAGGCAGACTTTTTGCCCATGGCATGCAGCAGTAGAGCATTTTGAGTATGCTGTTCGTCAACCAGCATTTTTAATAATGCGAGTTGAAAGAGGAGTGTGCTTATAAGGCTGTCTGTTGTGAGAAGATAGTTATGAGATTTGCTGTTGCACCCCATGCTAACCTTTTGTCTGAAGTGAGAGTCAGTTCTCACCTAATATGAACTAGGTTCACCCCTGTATGAACAACTATAGGGAATAGATCTGAGCAGCTGTATCTGGAAACTATTTCTTTTAACACCTTGCTTAAATAAAATCTCTTGACTTTCCAGTTCAATCCATTATCTCCTCTGTACTCTCTGGATGTGCTTGCTGATGCTTCCCACCGAAGATGCTCACCAGCACACTGCACTGCCAGGTAACTCCCTTGCTCTGCTCTGTTGGGGTTGTCTCACTTCCCTCCCATGGTTATCTTCAGTTAGTACTATGTGGTCTGAACAATACTCGTGGACCTGGAAGTTAATGCACTTTTCTCTAGGAGGCCTGCGTTCAAACTTAGCATAAAACCTACTGATGCAGATTATTTGAGAGTCTCAATACATTAAGCGCTTAGAGTATATGAAGCAGTGTATGACAGGCAGAACATACTGTGCTTTGAGAAATGAATGTGATCTGTTTGGATTGTGCAACGAATTGCTGCAAGTCTGTTCTATAGGTACAAATGGACATAGTATTGTTGCCCAGTGTTAAAATCGGAACAAGATGAGAGGGAAAGTGCTGACAAGCTTGTGTGGGTGACATGCTGAGGCATTTTGGTATCCTGGATGTCTAAAATAGACCCTCTGACCAGATTCAGAACTCACCTGAGGTGACCTCTAATGGCTTGATATCTATCTCTATTGTTATAGCTGAAAATTTAGATCTGATCTGGCCAAACGTTGAGGTATATTTGAGTCTGCATAGTTGGGGTTAATATGCTGTTCAGGCACCTTCTGCTGACTAATCCTGAATTAAATTCAAGTGTTGGCCTTGGAGGTGACTCCTATTCTTGTGCTGCAGGTGACTATCTAAAGATAAGGTGCCCTTGAGCTCTTTCTCCATGCAAGGAGACAAAGCCTTGCTTGGGACACAATTCTGCTTATGTGCTTGTATGAAGGACCAAATCTGGAAGAAACGTCTGGACTTTCAGCTTCATGGCTTTCTTTCCCTTGTTAATTAGCAAATAGAGCATGAAAAATGTACTGAGGTTGTATGTTTCTGAATGAAAGCTTGGCACCCACCCAGCAAAGCATCTCCTCCCACTGGCTTCTGCAGGGAATTTTGTGATGTCGCACCATGACCTCATGCTGCTGTAGCCAGCATGCTAAAGCTGGAAAGGGGGAGGGAGGAAGAAGTCAACTCTTGAAACATTCAACTGGATGAGAATAAAAAGAATTCAGAAGATTTTGCATCAGCAAATTGGTTCCTTTCTGTCCTTTTGCCCCACTCTGGGCATGTTTTGTGCCTGTAAAGCAAGAAGATTGATCGGTCTCTTCATTTACAGCTAGGATAACCTTTCTTGTGCCTTGAGTATTTTAATTAGTGCTCTACAGAAGTTTGTCATCCAGAAAGGAGAGCTAGACAAATCCTGCTTATAAATTCAAACAGGGCAAAATCTCTACCTTTATGATGATCAGTGAAGGCCCTTTCCAAAGCTACTGGTTGTGGCAAGGGATTTCTAAACCTGAAGGGATCATGTTTGCTTGATTTTGCTGAATATGTAGTCTAGTTAACCAATGAATATATGCTTGGTTCCTTCCTCTAATGAACAGGTGACTGGTGTCCTGGCAAACAAAATCCTCGATGAATTGTTACAAAATGTTGGCAGGGAAGTTGTCCTATCCCGGGGGCTGCTGTGGTTTTAAGTGCCTGTAGTTTGAGAACGTAGTTCCTATTTTAGTGTGAAATGTGCTCAAGAATCTTTATAGGAGAAAGAAATATTGAATGTGTTATGTGGCCCCATATCTGTGGTGAGGATGGAACTCTTCAGTGCAAGATGCTTGCTTTATGTAAAGATACTGCCAAGAGCACAGAAGGAAACTCTTCCTTTTCAGGAAGGTTTTCTTGACAATAGTTGTTCTTTAGATGCTTTAAGAGCCAAGCCTATTAGTAGTCCATTTTCTTGCAGGAGGTTCAGGTGATCTCTGTAAGCGCTGCTCAGCCATTGCCCTAGTTAACATCTCTTTTGCCTTGGATGTTGTCAATCCCAGTAGTTTGTGCTTTAGTGAGCTTCTAACAGCTTGTGCCTCATCCTGGAGAGACTCTGGTCAGAAATTTGTCAGAATGATGTGTGTGTGGAGGGGAAGATAATCCCCTGAGAATGATGTGAAATGTATTAGAGAAGAAACTGTCGTCTTGTTGTGGACATCCAATTTCTTAAGCCTGATACCCACCATGCCATGCAAAATTACTTCTCTCTGCGTAGTTTCTGCTATCAGAAATGTGTCCAATGGAATATAGTTGCCAGGTGGAGTCTTTTCTCTCCCATGGAAATGTTTTCTTTGTCTCAATGGTGGATTTTGGTGCAGTTCATCTAGAAGTGCAGTTCATCTGGAAGACTGGTGACCCAGTGCTTCATTTAAGCAGAGCTGAAGGCCAGAATACTAAGCAGAGTCAGGGGTGTTCAAGAAAGGCTTCTCAGTGTCAAGGAGGAGGCTCTATGTGGAGGGTTCCTTGGGAAGTCTTTTTTTAAAGGCTGTATAAATTGTACACTACCAAGATTACCTTTCTTGCTTTATGTCTGTGATGAGATTTCATTCAAAGTGTATGCACAGCACTGGGAATTTCACCCATCATTAGAAGCAGTTTAGTGTGTGTGGTGACTGTTATCATTAGTGGTATAATTTTATTTTGTGAAGTGAGGAGAGTTTCCTGCTTTCTTGCAGTCCTCCCAAGGGACGGCTGGTGTATTAATTTGCTGTATTGCCTCCTGGCTGTTCCCAGGCTGTTTTTCCTCTTCATCATGGAATTTTTAATGGCCCTGCTGCCTCTCGGGAGGCATGCAAGGAAGAGTACCTCGGGGATCTCTTCCTTTTTTTACATGCCTATAATTACTCTCCTTTAAGAGCATAAAGCGTTTGCTAATCATGTCTTGTCTGTTAAGGTTTCGGCTTTACGATGCAGGCTGTTAAAAGCAAGCAAGTAGAGACTTGCACGAATAGCCCAAGTGATCCTTCCCCTCTTTCCCCCTCTGCTCATTTGCCTCTCTGGGAGAAAGGAGTGGTCTGAACAGAGTTTTCTTCTTGAACTCCTACTTGAGAGGATTTTGTACAGGCTCAAGCAGAATATCTTACTAGGTTTTGGTTATTCAATGGTTCTATCAGTGGGAAGACATTCAGGTTGTTGGTTGGTGGAATGGTATTCCCTTGAGGCAGAATAAGAGTTTCAGAAGAGCCTAGAGCCAATATTCCCTTCAATTTGATTTTGAATAGCAGATAGAATAAGAGAGGAAGGTAGAAGATAAATTGTCCCTAATGCCATTTATTGTTTGCCTAGCCTTGAAAATAGGGTTATGGATGAAAAACGCAATTAAATGGTCCAACGGGAGGTCATAGGAAAAGTGGATCTCAGGTGGCAAGTAGATGTTGAAGGTGGAGATTTGAAGAATTGTGTTAGAGGCACCTTTGAACTGTATAGATGAATTGAAGAAAATCGCTTTGCATGTACTCTCAGTTAATATGAACTGTAAACTTAGAGTTTAATTGGGTTTAGAAGCAAGTCTCATCTCGCCTGGAACATGGGCTAAAGATCTAAAGAGGTGAGTGATCATCTCCTCGTAAACTGGCAGTTGCTCCATACCCTGGATTTGGTGGTGCTGTTAGGTGAAAAGGTTTGGATGTCTCTAATTCTAGTTCTAGCTCTAGAAATATGCTTGTCAAAGTAAATCTTGTTCTTTCCTTTCTGTATCTGTGCAGAGGTCCTGACATTTCTGCTTCTTACCCAAGCATGTGGAAGTACAAGGATTGCCTGCAATGTCAAGCCTTGCCTGAGGCAGGTGAAGGAGTGAACGAATGTTCACAATTTCACGCTTTCCCACTTGACCAGGACAGTATCCAGTGCATTCCAGGCAACCTATCCACACATCTTCATCTTCCTGGAATTGTCTTTATGTAAAAAATGTCTGTGGTCAACTGCTTTAGGCATCTTTCTCCCTAGTTTTTTTAAACTCTTTTTCCATTTAGCTGGAGCACTTTCATGTCTTCCTTTGCTAAAGCCTGACTAATATTCCAGTTGGGGATGTAACTGAATTCTTCTGACAGGCATGCAATGAACAGCAGCTATCAACCTAGTGTCACATGCAGCTGTCTGAGGCCTAATGCTCCCATTTTGGTGAATCTTAATTCTCTGCAGTGAAAAATAAATTCCCCTTGGCTTCAGAATTTTGTTTACTTGCTATTGCTTTCTTTGCCTATAAAGCATGTTGCCATTATCAAATCTGTGTACTCAGCAGGTCTGGCAAATATTAGGACTCTTTATGGCACAGATATCATGTGATTCAGTATGAAAATAGAGAATGCAATATATGGGATCACATCATGTCTGCTTAGAATGCTTACATGGAAAACCAAAAGAGAAGGCTTTCACTTGCATTTGCCACACACAGACTTTTAGGAGTGGAATTTCTACCTCATTAGAACGCTTACTTGGGGAAGAGACTGCTGCTGCATGAAGACCTGTGAGATTCAGATGATTTAACAAGTGAGCTGATCTGCTAGTGATTTTAGGATCTGAAGATGTGCTCTAGAAGCTCTCCTGTGAGGCTCTGCAGGGTGGAGGAGACTCTGCTACGCACAGGAAATATCTACAGTGTGATGCAATAGCAAGAACCACTTGCATGCTTGGGAGCTTTGCATGCAGATTGGATGAGCAGCTTGTGTTGATTTACATGTATTTTGTGCAGATCAGACTTTGGTGCCCAGATGAGTCTATAGTCAAAGAGGAGGAAGAACTCTGCTTTTACTATTAATTTTGTGAAGCCACCATTAACAGCCTCAGGTAACACCTCAGGGCTTAGAGAAACAGCCTTTTATTTGACCTATGTTTGCTGGGAATATAGCATCACAACAGCAACAGCTGGGTTCTGTGGAGTTTTAATAGTAGTATCCTTGTTAGAGGCTGTCTATGTTGAACATTTACTTTAACATGAGGATAATGGCATCCCTCGTTTGTATGACAGTAGATTAATGGCTGCTTCTCACTTTCAGTACATAATCCAAGTGCTTTGCTTCCTCTAAGGATAGGATTAGAATAGAGATTGTCAGTAGAGAATCTGGATGATGTGAGGTTACAGTGAGAGGCGTATACCCCCAAGTGTGCGATGTGCCTTCTGCCTCCGAAAAGGCCACAGGCTGTCACAGTTAGCTCTGTAGGGTCTTCTTGGAGACCTCTGTTGTGAGACTAAGGTGGTTTTTTACCACAAATTTTGAGTGAGTGAACATCACTTTACAATCTAGACTTTTCTTCACAGATAATGAAGGTTTCAGAGGCCTGATGCTGTTCAGTAAAGTTCTTTGTGGATTGGTGTTTGCTTGTGCTCTGTATTGTCTCCCACAGATTGTACGGCCAATCCTAATTTTCTGTTGAAGCCTTGTGGTAGCTGTAAAATAGTGGCAAGCTCCTGTGACCCTATAGTCCAGCACATGATCACCTTGAACTGTAGGAGTGAGGTAGGAGTCAGGTGTATGCAATTAGAGTTCATTTAAAAAAAAAATCGTAGCATAAATATGTGGAAAAGAAATAAAAGGAAGCATTACTTCTGACACATTGGAGACAGCAATGAATCTCAAGCTTTCTGCATAGCAAAGCCCACTTTTTCTCCAGCATGACCTGCATGCAGAATCAGGTACCTTAAGAACTATATTAAAAGCAAGAGACAAATCCATATTTCCTGGATAATTCCTTTAGTTTGTGATTACAAAAAAAAAATCATCAACTGTCAGAAAGACACTGTAGGCTTTTTTCCATATTAAACCGTTTTTTTTTCTCTATACATACGTCATTTTTCATTCACTAATTCCTGGCAGTGAGGGGCTGCAGTGTGCGTTGGATATATTGCAGCCATCAGTGTAGCTGTACTTTGGATCCTGCTTTATCTCTCCAGGTGTGTTCTACTTTTTCTTTTCCCAGGTTTGAATTTCAGTCCTCTCTAGACCGTAAACTAGGCTTTCACATTAGTCTCTGATCACCTAGCAGATTCAACGGTGACTGAGCACTGCGTCTTTTCTTATGATCAACCAGCCATAGTCCAAAAGTAACCAGGCAATTATTTTCTCATTACTGTTTGTGCAACATTGAAGAAAGTATAGAAGCCTAGCAGAAGAGATTGAAAACCAGTAAGGACAGAGTAAGTACCATTCTAGTTTCTCCGTTTAGGCCCAGATGTTTCATCGCACAAAGCTCTGTGCCTCAGACTTCTTCACAGTAGGGCTTCTGACAATGCACAAATGTGCATTTTCCATCAGCCTTTCCTCTCAGACCTGTTCTATTTTACTTCAGAGTAATTTTTAAACTGGTCAGAAGAGTTGTTAAAATTCAACTTTGGCAGAAAAACTAATTCATGGTTGCAGCCTGTCAGTGAGATTTTCACAATTTATAGTTCAGCCTGTCCACTGCAATGTTGTGTGCTGTGCATACCCATGGCCTGACTTTCCTGGTGGTGGTGTTTCTAGGAGTCTGCTGTTAAACTGGGATTCACCAGTTCTATTCTCTTACTGATATAGCACCTGTATGCGAGCTTGTGATTAGAAATCTACTTTTCAAAGTGTGGTATCTAGCAAAAAATGCGTATTTCATAAATTACAGCTCAGACACCCTTTCTGTCCATGTCTTAATGAAGACTATCATCCCTGTGTGGATTCTTCTGCTCTTCTCTGTCCCAAGGTACCTACCACCTGGAGATTCCCTGTATGCAGATTTATGGTGTCTGTAAAGTGCACCAGCCACTTGAAACTGACACTTTTACCACCAGGTCAGTCAGAGCCAGTGAGTAATCGATAGATTCCTGATTTACTAACTGAAGTGTGGCTGATCAATAAGGGATAAACCTGAATGAAATACATGTTACAGAGACAATTTATGACCTGTGAGCCTTTGTGTGCTAGAGGCAGGGCTGCTCGGTGCAGCATCCTTGCTATTAGTCTCCAGCTGGAGTATGATTTGCCTTTACTTTCACTACAAGAAGGGATTTTGAGATTCTCATATTCTGTTTTCATTTTTCTTTTTATTTTTTACCCCTGTGTAATCGTGAGGTAAAGGTAGATGTGGTTTGAGCATGGAGCTGAGAGCCGGGAGCTCTTATTAGAAATTTAGCTGTAACATTTGTGAACTGAGAAAAATTGCATAAAGTCTCTTGGAAATGATAGTGCATACCTCTTTCCTAGTCCATAGTGATTCTCCACTAAGGATCAACTGGCTAATGTTGGTGTAAGTTCATAAAATTAAAAAGGGAACCTTATTATTATTATTATTATTATTATGTGATGAAATGAGTTGGATTATTATATATAATTATGTAGTCATCTAGTTAGTAATCTAATACTGTGTCACTGATGCAAAATAAAAAACTGAAGTTTCACTTGATTGAGATTATCTTTTCCTTGGGCTATGTGTGCCTAGATGTACAAAAGCAGTTTTCAGCATATGCGAAGTCACTTAGAGGTTAGTCATTTCTGTGTACAAACACAAGATTTGAATATGCAGTCTATAGGTGTGCTGGTATTTTTGAAAGCCTTTAGTTCATGTTTTCAGGAGACTTCTGTCTGGTTATATCAATATGCGTTCCCAGATTTGAAAAATTGGCTGTCAGTGAAACTTAGCACAATTTAAAAAATTTGGAAACTATTCCTTAATGTCAGATTTAGATGACAGATCTTGGAGACTTCTTGTAGAACTGTTTAATTTTAGTTGAGAAGAAAGAATGGTAGATATTTCTTTCTTATTTTGTGGTTGTGCATTTGTTACAGGTAAGTAGGTAGACCCAGCAGCATTCAGACAATTTATAGTCTTGGCTGGTATAGGAAATTTTTTGTGCTCCCTATACTGTTCTGTCTAGCTACAACAGCACACTTTGGTTTTGCATAAATTCAGCATCTAAAATTGTATATACTATAAATATGCTGCCTGGTTTTGGTTTTTTTTTGGAAATAGATTTTGGCATGGAAATACAAAGCCATGGAATTTTCCTTTTGATATCTGTGAAAGATTTTAGTGCTTGATAAATGTGTGTGTTAAACTTTCAGGATTTTTTTTAAATCAAAATAACAAGCTTTTGAAGACACAAAAGATTTTCATCACTTATTCATCAAAATGTATATGGTTCCAATCTTTATGGCATATAAGCACTACACAATCTTTAATGGCTTTTATTTAAACAGTAGTTCTGCATTTTGTGTGTTAGATCTGATGCAGAGGGTGACCAAGGAACTTGCCAAAGAAACTGTTATCTCAGACAAAGCAGGGATTTGAACCCAACGTCATTGCTAAATTACGCATTTGTGTTCATTATGGATTGTATTTAAGAAAGTTCTCTGGTCTGTTGCCAGGACTGTCTTTTCTGAATTAAACTTCTCTTCTTCCTACATCTAGAACTTGGAGGAGTGCTCAGTTCAAGTCAGTCCCAATAATGTGGGTTTCTTCATAACTGGGAAATGGTTAAACTGAAGTAGTATTCAGTAGGCTTCAGACTTAACAGTTGATATGACCAGGACTGTGTTACCATAAGCAAGGCTGTGTTACCATAAGCCAGACTCAGCTGTTTTCACAGCATCTTGATAAGGAAATGATAATTTTGAAAATGCATGAGACAGTTTTGCATTCCTAACTTTATGAACTTGCTACTGTAGTGGAAACAATATGCATGGACATTTGGAATATAGGTACATTCTAAGATGACTCTACAGTACTAAATAGGTTGCAAAATAATTTCTGATTAAGGGAGCAAATACGCAATTTTTTTTTAAAGAGAATCTTGCAGACATTTGTTATGCTTTTATAGAAGTAATGGTATGACGTGTGTCATATCGCTGCTTGATCACATCTTTACTTATGCAAAGAGGTATTTTAAAGTTAATACAAAACCAGATCCTTTCAAGGCTAAGAAATAATTATTCTTCTGAGCTGTTCATGTGCATGAGCTCTTAAAAGAAGTGGGAGCATAATGGTATATTTACGAAGAATGTGAGCAAAGCTTCCCTGGGAAGCTTTTGATTTGTGCTGCCTACTCGTTAAGAGACTGATGGGAAGGTGGGAGTTGGAGAGTGATTGGCCAGAGTCTTACAGGAAGGTGATACTGGAACACAGTTTAATTTGTTTTAATTTCTCTGTAGGCAAGCAAATGTACACCTGGGACCACCATGCTCAAGGGACATCAAGAGGAAACGGAAGCCAGCTGCAGCCTCCGTGTCCAGCCCAACATCAGGTAACCTGGGTTTATCTGTGTGCCAGCATTTCTAAAGTCGTGTCCCTCTTGAGCAAAGAGCCAGAGTCACTTGAAACTAATGAAACGTGTGTGTGAGAGGCAACATGTGAGAAGGAATATCATGTGGTTTTGCGTGGCATCAAAAGCTGCCTACTAAATAAATCTTTGATGATGCAGCTATGGCAAGTTAATGTAATTTACAGTGCTTCACTGTACAGCATGTAATAGTCTGTTTTTTCATAAGATGTTATTTCCACTCTTCCTAAATTATGCAGTACATGGTAATAAGGAGGTGATCAATATACACAGTGTGTTCCATCAGTGTTGGGCTGACGTTAGCTGGTGTCTCTGGTGCCCTTTTACAGGGTGTTTCTAGACACTTTCACAGGAGCAGAAATCTGGCAATTTTTATATCATGACTGAGTGAGACCATCTATTCCCTGCGAGTTGTCTTACTCTTGTGGATGAAAATAGTCACTTTTTTCTTTTTCTTGCTCTGGGGATGTAGTGATTAAAATACTGGTTTATTTTCATGTGGCATATTTCTGGAATGTGATTGATTACTCATCAGAATCTGAAAAAGTTTTAATCTGCAGAACACAGAGGGGTTTAGGAGACTTCTTTCTGGCCTCTCACCCTACCCTCTCTTGAAATATTTTGCCTACTATCAAGTGACCCATGTTCTTCCAATTAGCTTATTAAAAAACTATTGTTGTAATCCAGTAACAAGGTGGTGGGAAAACTGGTGATGTGAAAACAGTGGGGAAGACCAAAGGAACCGATGATGAATCGAGGAATGAAGTTTGTGTTTTTTCCTTAGGCTGGTGGATAGACAGTAGAATAAGGAAGTAGGGAAGAAAATTTTGCTAGCTCTCCAGGTCACAGATCTGGATTACAGACTGTCTGAAAGGTTCTGTATTAAAAAAAGAAGATGAAAGAACATTAAATTAATAATCTGTTGCTCAGCAAAAGCTTCATCGATTGTTGACTGTTTATTTGGGAGATTTTTTTTCCTGGCTTTTGAGTATTCCATGCTAGGATATTCAAACTTCTGTAGTGAAAGGGTTGATAAAATCATGTATCTGTAGCCACAGAATTTTAGTTCTGGGATACTAGGTTTTCTTGGTATGAATGCTAGTTTCTCACTGTTCCCTGTTACCTGCCCATTTGTTTACTGTTCAGAGTGTATTCTGTACTGCATTGCTGGTCACTTTCTATAGAGTGAGCTTATATTTCTATGCCTTCATGTTCCAAAATATTATGTAAATTGTACTTGCCTGACTAGGCAAATGTATAGTGAACATTTTTTGAAGAGTTGAATCTGCATCTGGAGTGGAACTCAGCACTGGAAAATAGCACAGAGGTTTGAAAGGCTGGGTTTTTTTAGGGTTAAGGGAGAGAAAATTAGCGTATGTATTACAAATAAGGAAGGAGAGTGTAGTTAGTGGAATCCGGACAGGATGCTTGTGCTGATCATCAAGAGAGAAGTGCTGCAGGATCTTTAATGGCCAGAAATGGTAAAGATCTCTTCCTTAGACCCTGTTTAGAAATATTCCCAGCAAAGTTAATAGCTGTGGGCAGGATTTGCTGCAGTACCTACTTGCAAAAAGAAATTTTTATGATTGGGTAACTGGAGCTGTGTCCTAGCTGACTTTCTACACCAGTCTCCCAATTGCAGCTGGAACACAGCCTGGGCATGTAACTTGGAAACTTCTGAAATCTGGTATTATTTCTGTCAAAGGTGATCTGACTGTGGAATTACTAATGCCAGTAGAAATATGTAGGATTACTCTGAAATAATGTAGAATTAACTGAAGACTTATGCTTGTTAGACATTGAGATAGATACAGATTTTTCTCCCTTGCCATGCATCTACTCACCCCTACATAAATATCTTATACTGAGGTTCCCCTGAACCTGAGGAATCATGGCAGCCTCATTTTCTCACTACAGAGGCTTTTTATGTTTGTGGTGTTTTATTACTTCTGCAAAAGATGAAACACGGGTGAATGAGAATGCAGGCCCATGCCTGTCACTGCAGGCACACAGAGTGCTGGATTTCTTCACCTTTAAACAGATCCTTAGCTGAGTCCAACTGCTCTCGTCTCACTTGTTGACCAGGTCCTGCTTCAGTGATCTCCTTTTTTGCAACCTGAGTGCCCTATGGAGGTGAAGGACACAGCCTGAGCTGGCTCCATCAGTCAGCAGAACAAATGGGCTTGCTCTGCCGAACATCGGGCCATCTCGGATTCCACCTCTTTTATAGAGATGAGTGATGAAGAGGGGCTCGTTCCACTTTGCCGCTGTATTAATACACATCAGGGGCCAGCTCCCGGCACTAAATCACGCTACTGCATACATCTGTTATCGGACTTCTCACCAGTGTGATGAACAAGACTGCAGATAGAGGCTTCCTCATGTCATTCTTTATAGGATTTTCCTAAAAGAATAAATAGCTCAAATCTCTGCCAACACTCTCCCCTGTCATTGTGATGAATTTAGCTTCTTTCTTAAACACGCAGCTACAAATCTTCCCCTGTCGCGTCACCTCCGCACCATCCACAGAAAGTTTTGAGTTGAATTTGGCTGAAATCAGAAGACGCTAATAAAAGGCATATGAGATGTGGATCCATTCTAGCTGCAGGAATGAGAAGGGAGCTAGAGATATGTTTATTTGGGAGCAAGCAAACTAAGTTTATTCCATGTCTTCTCATGCACTTTTATGAATATGAGTATTTATGGGTTCTGGTAAAGCATCTTTTGTCAGAAACCCTTGTATGAACATCAAAAAACATGCATTACTGTAGCAGAAGTGCCTAGGTCTCTACTGTATTGTTACAGCATTAAACTTCTGGTATTAGTCTTGCCCTTTGTCCTGATTTGACCCAGCCTTAAATGGTGATACCCTGTGAGGCTAACTGGCCTAAATACCGTAACTGACATAGCTGTTAAAGAACAGCATTTTGGAAAAAGGCCTGACTGTTGAGAGCAACAAAAAGCGGGTAGAAAATTCAGAATTCATTTGCACTTCAGGAAGTGACTTATCAAAATAAAGTTGGGCAAACTTATGCAAACGTTTAGAAAGACTGAAAATTAAACTTAGTGCTTTCCACACTATACAGTTGAGCAGTGTGTGAGCCCTAAAGCACGAGACTTTCACCAGGTAAGAACAAAAGGCTGGCTGGCATATTTTGGCAGTAGAATAAGGAAATCTGGAGGAAGTAAGACTGGCTGTACTGGATTAGATCAGAAGTTCATCCAACTGAGTGACCAACAGCCAGTGCCTAGGGAAGAAGAAAGTCTGTAGTGATAAACACCCTTTGAACTTTCAGTAATCTAAGACTTAGGGGCTTCAGAAGGCATGGATAGGGTCCCTGTGTTTACTTTCTCTTGCAGTGCAATAGATGTGGAATAATGTCCTCAGTGGCACAGTAGACCTCATCTGAGAAATACTGTACAAAATGTTATTCTCATGGTAGTTATTCTCTGGTTTGAAAGGGATCTGGTGAAGACTGTCATGTCTGTCTTCTGTTTGTCAGAATAGGCCACAAGGATAGATGCTTCTGAAATAAATAGCGAACAGTTGTCCAGCTTTACATTGATGTTTTTAATGTTTGTGGTCCAGTCCCCTATATATGTAGTAGTACACATGGTAACTGGCATCCTGTTCAGGTATTATAGTGAGTCTGGGGTAAAAATCTGCATAAACAGATTTTTGTCTGCCTTGGCATGTATTCACACTTGGCTTGTGAAAAATAATAATTTCTAAAAGGTACCAGTTAGCAGCCTCTGAAACTGCTTATCAGAGAACAGTCTGAGTAGTAGCAATTTGGTGAATTTTCCTTCTCCTATTTCTTGCTAATGCATTCACTCTTTGTCATGGTGTGATGGTACCCAGCAGCAAGAAGCCTGTTTCAGTCCTTTGCGTTTTTTCTTTTTATGAGCGAAGATGGAGAGCCTGAGGGGGGAGGCTGCTATTGAGGGGCCCGTAGTGTAGTATTGGTGGTGATTATTGGTTTAAAGACTTTGACTTACTTTTTTTTTTGCATGTTTCATATGACCTTCAGATGGAGCAAGTTGACGGGCTAGAGGTAAAATACGCAATGTGCTGTTATCAGCTGTATTGTGGTTGTATGGCAGTGACTCACTGTTTTGGATTTACAGAAGCAGGATTGTTTGGGTTCCAGATCTACTCAGTGTGGAACCTCAAGCATTGAACTATCTTTTTATTTGAACTTCAAAGAAATCAGTCCTCTAGTTGAGGCTTGTTATGACCTCTCTATCCTTCATCCACTACAGAGCAGCAGACGCAACTTGTAATAAAAACACATGAACAACTATTATCTGTTGTCAGAATACAATGAAAAAGAGATGTGTTTTGTACTGAAGCAGTTTAAAAAAATTCCTGTTGCCCCAAAGACTCCTGTGGCAATTACTTTTCATCCTGCCCTGTTCTGCTTGTGAGGATTGAGTGATTCAGGGTACCGAGAATGGGAGTAAACTCTAATATCTCTAGGTTTCTAACAATCCTTCTGGAAACTTGGGTGAATGTTGGGTTGAGCTATGGATCTGCAAATCTCTCTTACTAATTATAGCCTGTCCAATTTTGAAGCAGTGGTTGTATTGAGAAAATGAGAATGGATTCCAACCTAGCTTAGCATGTAGCTTGTTGTTATAATATGCTGATTTAACATACTGGATATATGTGGAGGTTCATAGTACTGCCTTTACTGGGTAAGGAGGAGAGGTATATTTTCCTCTTTAACTGAGGTTTGCAACCTGAAATTTGCCAAGCCTTCAGAGACTTTGAAATTCTCAGATACAGGGTTAATTGAGTCTTTGTGAAGAGATCAAGGTATCTTCAGTTGAATGATTATGAATTGATTCAGTTTAAGTATGGGACAGCTAAAGCTCTTGATTTTTCATCAGGAACTTTGACTAAGGCAACTAGTTAGTGGACTGGGAACTTGATGTTCTGAATGTGAGGATCGTTATCAAAAACCTGTATTTCAAAGGAATTTGGCAGGGGAACTTGTAGGAACTCTGTAAATAACACCTTCGTATAAGAAATTATATATATGAGGCGTTTGCCATGAAGTCACTTGTTCTAACTTTATTTTCTATTGCCCTTTCCTACTCTCTTCCTCTTCCCCCCTTTTCCTGCAATTTTTTATTCCAGCAACTTTATCTGTTCACATGGATGCAGCAGAGTCAGAGCTACCAGCAACACCATCCCCGAGATCCCAGAACTCTGAGTGGACAGGGAAAACACCAGCAACTGAGAAAGCCACTACTGCTGCCTCCAGTAACTTTTTTAAAATGCCACCAGAGAAGAGCCCTGGATACAGCTAAAAGGAAGCATTGCAACTATAAAAGCTTGCTGGAATTTGGAAGTGTTTGACTCTGGTGTGTGTCTTCACCAAACATCTTGTTTGGCAGTAGTGATATCTTCAGTATTGGTGCGTGATGAGTGCCATCATCCAGACTGGTCTGTGTGCCCCACATACCTACATCATGTTTGTGAATCTATGTTTAAAAAAAGGTAATCAGTGTTGGGACCGCAGTGGCTTTTAAAAACGTTCTTGCTATTGCTGTATTTATTATGCATTCATTTTTTTTTCCCTGATGCCAGCTTATGTATGCTGGGTCATGTACAGATTCTTTTCGGTTTTCAGATCTTTATTCACCCCCTGGACACGTTGCTTGTTTGTGCATTTGGCATTTTTGGGGTGAAAGTCCCACTGCCACTCAGGGAGGCAAAAGGCTCCCCCTGCTTTCTTCCAGGCCAGAAGGATTTCTTGGCTGGGGAATGAGGAGGGAATGCAAAACAATTTGAAACATGGAACCTGAATTCTGTATTAGCAGAATGTTTTCAGGCTATGTGCTAATGGACCCGAGTCACGTTGCTTCTAGTGAAGCAGATACGGTGCTTGTCCATTCAGAAATTGCCATTGGCTCACTGGCAGCATGGTCCAGTAGACCTTTTCGTGCACCCTTGTTCTGAACATCTTTTAGTCTTGCTGGTGTATTGCATGTTCTTTCCTAAATATCCTACTGGATAAGGATTTGGGAGAACTACTTGGACGTAAATGTGCAAACTGGTGTCCTGGAAAGGAACCTGGTCCCTTGAATATCCTTGGAGTATGATAGAGGATATACGAAACTTCTATTTCTTGGTGTATAAATTAAAAAAATGACTGTTAGCATTTCTAAAGGATGCTTGCCATTGAAGTTAATATGCCATTGAACAAAAAAGCCATTCAAGGTATCACCTGAGTTCAGAGCATTCTGGGTATTGATCAGATCGCTTCTGTCTCATGTTTTCCTTCTCTTCAAAAAGTATTGTCTGCTATAGCTACTGGAGGTGTCTCCACCTACTGATGATTGTACTTTACTCTAGCGTACACTAAAGAGATTCTCTTCTCTTCACAGCACTTCCATTTCATCCCTTATTACCTTCTGTGTTGCAGAATGTATGGATAGTTATCTCTTCCCTCTCTTTTCTTGAATTCTTGATCACACTCCACTTACTTTTCTTGAATTACTCTGTCTGGAGCATATTTTGGCCTATGTTTTTAGAATATATACTGCATAACATGTGTCAAGGAACAGGGGGTCGCACAGCTTCTTAAGTCCTTTAAAAATAGTATATATTTGTATGCATAGAACTCTTTTCACTTTCCTCACTGGGTGGAGCTTTCAGACAGGACCTTTTAAGCTTGTAAAATTCATTTTGAATGTGGAGGTGCAGTGAGCACTCTTAAGTAGATAACAAAACTTGCATGTTTTTAGTGGTTTTGCAGTGTTCTGCTCTCCCTTATAAATCAAATAGCTGAGGGACAGGTTTAATTGTGAGGATATAAAGCGGTGATTTATATTTAACTCTGTATTAAAATGTTAAATGGTCATAGCATACACAAAACAAAAATTGAATGACTAACTAAATCATGATTGACAAATACAGATATACTACAGACACACTGTCCGTGTCTGATTCCCCTAATACCTACTTATTCTTGGGGAGACATTGAAATTGGATTTATATTTCACAACCCAAGCTAACTGTCAGATCTGTCATTGTAAATCCCTCTCAAAACCTTTTTTTTTTTTTTTTTTTTGGTGGTGGTACATTTTAGAACTAATTAGAACAGGGGAAGCCTTTTTATCTTGCTGAAGGAGTACAGAGGTCAGTTTGGATTATGGGACAAGCTGTAAGTGTTTTGTGGAGAGAGGAGCATTCCTGTTTTAAAGTAGCCATTGGATTGTCTTTATTTTGTAGTTGTTTTGAGCAGTGGTGCTTAAGAGGTAGCACATGAAGTCTCAGCACTGGAGGGCCTGTAATCTAGAACATGCAAAGAGAAGGTGAACCTGAAGAGTAGTAGCTTGACTATCTAGTACTCATGAACACAGTGAAGAGGAAAGGTGATCAGATTCTCCTGACAACCTGCCGATAAATTTTAGAATTGGAAGCCTTGTAACCTAACTTGCAGGCTGTTTCAGTGACAGGGAGTGGTTCCCTAAGAGACCGTTTATGCAACTGAATGTTTTTAATCTCATGAATGATCCTCCACAACCTCTCTCGGTTTGAGTCTATTCAACAGACTTACTCAGATTACTGATCATTCAGCTAAAATTTTAAATTTTGGCCTCTGTGTTCCCCTTTTAAAAACAAATTCTGATGTATCTTGCTACATTCTGAGTATATTGTTCAGAGTAGTACTGTTTCTTCTGTGGTGTCAGGCCAGTTTTAAAACTTTTATGAGAGAGGTGTTTGAGGTGTTAGGGAATCAGGAGCCTTCATCTCGCTTATTGCGGGGGAGGTTGCCAGACTTCACATGGTTTTTCTTTGGGGGCAGGAAATATAACTTGACAGATTTTCCTATTGAGGTCAGGAGCACTGTTCATCTGGTTATGCCCTTACTTAGGTTGTAAGCTCCTAAGAGGTCTTTCTTGCCTTTAAAGGTTGAATGTACCTGTGTCGGTACTGAAGAGTAACTGTGGCATGCCTTGTCTTGGTAAGTCATACTTCCTGCCATGGCAACTTTCTGGAAGTGCCCGGAGACTGAAGTTGTTGCAACTGCCCTGTCTTTCCTGTTCTAGGTTAGAATCCATTTGCAGGTCAGTCAGACTGTCTACCAAATTTGATTCTTCTGAGTGGTAGACAAGCTAAATGAATCATATATCTTGTTAATCCAGGGTATTTATCAAAATTTATCTTCAGACTTCCGTAGCTTGATACAGATTTGACTATCTGCAGCATTCTTAGAGGAATGAATGAGGTGTATTGTGTTGTCTGTTTTCCTCTAAGGCAGATTCCTTAGAACTCACAATGTACTCACACAATACTCACAGTGAAGGACACAATGCTTCAGATGTTGATTGCTTGAGTAGAAAGGAATAATAACGTGCCTTGATTTGGTAGCTGTCCTACTAAGGCGGTCCTGTATGTGATTATTGCTTCAAAGATCCACAGCTCACTCATATTCCACTTCTTGTCCACCAGGACTCCTCAGTCTTTTTTCAGGTTTGTCTTCTCTCCTTGTCTCTTGGGAGACTTCAACTTCCGAGACACCAACTGGGAATACCATACTGCTGTGACAAACAAGTCTGGGAAATTCCTGAAGTATGTTGAAGATAGTTTCTTGTTACAAGTACTCAGTGAGGCAACTAGGAAAGGTGCCCTCCTAGACTTGTTATTTGTGAATAGAGAAGGACTTGTGGGAGATGTGATGGTAGGTAGACAGCTGGTCTTGGCCACAGGGATCACAAAATGGTTGAGTTAAAAATTTTTATGTAATGAGAAAAGTGATCAGCAGAGTTGCTACCCTTGATTTCAACAGAGCTAACTTTAAGCTACTCAGCAAGCTAGTTAGCAGTGTGTCCTGGGAATCTGCTTTTGAGGACTTAGGGGTCCATGAGTGCAGCTCAGTTTTTAAGAACCACCTTTTAAAAGCACAAGGCACTCCCTTTGTCTTGAAAGTCAAGCAAGCGGCACAGAAGACCAGTTTGGCTGAACAGGGAACTCCTCTTAGAACTCGGGAGGAAAAAAGAAATTGTATGATCTCTGGAAGTAAGGTCAGGCTTTGCAGGAAGATTCGAGAGCTGTGGTTCACATATGCAAGGAGAAGACACGAAAGGCCAAAGCTTAATTAGACTTCAAACTGGCCAGTGTTGTGTCAGACAACAAGAAAGGCTTTTTGAAGTATATTAATAGCAAGTTAAATTCTAAGGAAAACATTGGCCTGTTGCTTGTTGAAGCTGATCACCTGACAAATCGGGATGAAGAAAAAGAGGAGGCATTCAATGTTTTGGGGGTTTTTTTGCCTCAGTCTCTAATAATACTGACAGACCTTGGGCTGCCCGGTCCTCTGAGGTGGAGGACCATGACTACAGGAACAGTGACTTTCCATTTGTGGACACTGAAGTTGTAAGGGACCAGCTGTATCAGTTGAATGTTCCTAAGTCCATGAGGCCGGATGGGATTCATCTCGGAGTACGGAAGAAGCTAGCAGATGTTATGGCAGGATCCCTCTCAATCATCTACCAAAGGTCTTGGGAGTCTGGGAAGGTGCCTGCTGACTGGAAGCTAGCCAATGTTATTCTAATTTACAAGAAGGGCATGAGGGAAGACCCAAGAAACTACAGACCTGTTAGTCTAATCTCAGTGCCTGGAAAAATTGTGAAGATCATCACACTGGATGCTATTGAAAGATGTTTAAAGGACAATGCAATCATCAGGCACAGTCAACATGGGTTCACAAAGGGAAAGTCCTGTTTAACTAGTTTGATATCCTTCTATGATGAGATCACTGACCTAGGGGTGAAGGGGAGGTGGTGGATGTAGTTTTTCTGGATTTTAGTAAGACTTCTGGTACTGTCCCTCACAGCATCCTTCTGGACAAGTTGTCCAACCGTGAGATGAGCAGGTACATGGTGCGCTGGATGAAGAACTGGCGGAAGGGCAGAGCTCAAAGGGTCATAGGGAATGGGGCTACATCTGGCTGGTGACCAGTCACCAGTGATGTTCCTCAGGGTTCAATTCTAGGGACAGTTCTGTTCAATATTTTTATCAATTATTTGGATGCAGGAGTTGAATGCAACATTAACAAGTTTGCTGATGATACTAAACTGGGAAGTGCTGTTAACCCTTTCAAGGGACAAGAGGCCTTGCAGAGGGATCTAGATAGATTGGAGCATTGGACTATGATTAATGGCATGAAATTTAACAAGAACAAATGCCAGATTCTGCACCTGGGATGGAGTAATGCTGGACACAAGTATAAATTGGGAGAGGAGTGGCTGGAGATCAGCCCTGCAGAAAGGGATCTGGGGGTGCTGGTCGACAACAGGCT